AGAAAAAAAAAAAAAAAAGAAAAAAAAGAAACCTCTGAAGATCAGTTTTTTCAAAGGAATGAGTGAAAGCCCAAACCAGACTCCCCATCCTGCTGCCTACAGACTGACTCCATGCACCTCCATGTACATTTTGGCTATTGGTACACACAAGTGTTGGGAAACTGTCTGCCAAAATGATGATTTAAGGAAGGAGAATGGGAGAGTGAAACTGTCTGCCAAAATGATGATTTAAGGAAGGAGAATGGGAGAGTGCTTGATAAGCTTGCTTTTTTAAGGATGATTTCTTGATGGTCTTACCAACCTCCTCCAATTCCATACGACGCTTAACAAGAAAACTTCTTTGTTCATACTTCCATTTTCCCTCTGCCATCACTCCTGCGTGTTCCCCTTTCTCCAGCCCTCTTTTCCCATCCTTCATTGTGTCATTTATCTCACTTCATGCTGTAGGAGCTGTGCCCACCAGGTAACGCTAGGTTTGCTGAGTTTGCTGGTGTGGTGGCCCCGTGGGATGCATCAGTGGTGGCACAGAATAAAATCACAGTGGCAGCTGTGCCTGCTTTTGAGGACAACGTCTGGAGGAGAGAGAGATTTGGAATGCTAAACTGAAATGATCATTCATTTCTTCTAGTAATCCAGTCTGATTTTTGGGAAGGGGATGTCCTATCTCAACAGGACTTTTCCATTTCAGTTTTTTCTTCCAAGACTGACCTAGAGCCAAGCATTTACTAGCCCCGGTTATTCAATTTGGGATTTAACCTTTTGGGATCAATCCAAATGCAAAGACCTGTACGTGGCTGTGTAGGATTTATGATAAATTATATTATCTCAGGTTCTACAGAAAAGAGTAGATTTTCAGATCACAGGCATATTTTATATGAGGTGGGTATCTGAAGGTGTAGTCAAGTCCATATTTTAAGATGGGGAATAAATGGCTTGCATTTCAAGACTGTGGGCCAAGCTCTGTTCTTAGAGCAGTTTAAACCCTCACTAGATGCATTAATGCTGTTATAGCTGATGTGATTTAATGCCTGGTTTCCAAACCTGGTTCCAGTTTTCACAGATGCAAGTTTTACAGCCTTAGTAAATCACACTTACCACTTTGTGTGGTTAATTTACAGTAAATTGCATCAATGAATTGCAAGTATAATATTATGAATGCATTTTCCTGTTGTGCTGAACAACAGCCTGTTTTGAGAATTGGACATTTTTCTACTGCTGGGAGTGAAATAAGAATGTGCCACTTCCATCTCATTTCTTATAATAGAATATTTTATAAGTTTCATAAATGTTCTCAATTATGAAAAATAGCTTAGCCTGGAGACATAAAGTCATGCTTAGGGTGAAAATTGGCTCCTCATAGGAACTCCAGCACAGCATGGAGACTCATTTAAGTCCCCATCCCATTCCAGCACCCATCTCCTTGTCACCCTCTTCCTAATTGTTCATACTGGGGCTGTACAAAAAAATCATCATCGTCTCCGCGTGCGTGTTGTGGTGTGTGCGCGTTTCTGTGTATGCTCCCACCCACTGTTGTGTGCTGTTGCCCTCCGATGATGTCCTGGCTGGAGGCATGATATCCCTACTGTCCCCAGACGCTTGAACGTTATCTGTGCTACCAGGAATAGCAAATTTGCCTTCCCTTTGGATGGGGGGAGCTGGCACCTGGAGTTAGTGTGGCGTTTCTCTGTGCTGAACTGGGAGGGGTGACGGGAAGCAGCAGGTACCGCTGGGTCCACTGCAGCGGCCGGCGACTCGGAAGTGTTGCTGTGGTGGGTAGCATGAGCTCTGTGTGTTCCTGTGGCGTGCAGATCTTCTCACCTAGCTCCCCTTTAACCGAAACATGCTTCCCTTGCTAACAAGCGACACACGGACCAGGAGGAGAGAGAGAAAACATGAGACGCCCCAGCCGGAGGTCCTTTCTCCGTGTCTCTGGAGGACACGGTGGCACCTGCGTCACCTGTCCCCTGGGCACACACACCGCTGCAGGGTGCCCTCCATCCAGCATTTTATAGCAAAGCTTAGTTAAAGTGCTCTGCAGAGCCCTGCCTTTTCTTTGAGGTTCTGGTGACATAGTGCAATGCAGTAGCTGTTCCCCAGGCTGCTCTTGTAATGCCAGGTTAGGCTGAGCGTTCAATTCCGATTAAATTTTGAGTCAAGTACATTCCTGAGTTTACACCCATTTTTAATAATTATAGTTTCAGTAAAACACTGTTTTTTCCAGCACACATGTACCAGGCCCATCACCCTACCACAGAAATGGTGAATTTCTGTCTTTGCTTGTGTGTCTTTACCTTTGCATGGAAGCATCTGTGGTGGCCCAAGAGATCGCCACCTTCAGCACGGTGTAAACCTCGTGTTATGGGCTGATGCAAAGGAGGGAGCTCCTTTTGGGATCCTGAATCCTTCAGTCTAGTGAGCTAATGAGCTCTTCACCTCTGAGACTTGCATTGGTGGGAGCCGCCCTGGATTTGTGATCCCAGCTGGAGGAAGCGGGGCTGTTGTCCGATGTTCTGCTGGTGATGGACCTCCCTGAGAAAGTAACTCACCAAAGAACAGTTGTGCACCCTTCGTTCACTGCTAAGTACACTTTGTGCTTGATTTTAAGCACCACCTTCTCCCATCTCGGAACAAATCTGCAAACCCTACGGTGGGTTTGAATGGAGGTGACAGCCCAGCACTCGTGCACTGCTCCAATGCACCAAGGTCAGCTTCTTCCCGACGTCCTGAGTGAAGAGGATCATTAATTCATCAGATCAGGATGTGCTCTTCTCTGGATGGAAGTGAACAGAGCCGGACTGGGGAGCTGAGCCAAAATTTTCAGGCCTATTTTTATTCTTTTCTCCATACTTAGGATTGGAAAATATTCTGATTGCCTCAATCTTGTGAACACCAAATCTGCTCTGCTGAACAACTGTGGTTTTGAGGATGAGTTTTGTGCATGCAGAGGAGAGGCTTTTCCGGTTGGTTTTTTTTCAGTTAAAGGAAAACTGTGAAACTATTGGTCTCATAATGGCTGAAAAAATGTGGGCATAATATCTCTGCCTTTATTTTACAGTAAGCAACAGCCCATTTCTTACTGCACCTCAGCTGAGACCAGTCTGTTAGCGGAGTGCAAGCACTTGCACCCCTTTCCTTCGAGTCCTAAGTTGTAGTTTGGGGACAGTTTGAGTAGGTCCTTCTTTCGTTAAAACCTACGGGGTTAATTTTTCAGCAAAGCCATAAGTATACACTGCCTGGGGGTTGTGGCTCTTTGGGCTGTGGCCCCAGCCGCACAGACGCGGGCAGCTGCAGCCCCCCAGCAGCCCCCATCCTCCCCTTCATCCCTGCAGTGGTGCATCCTCCCCCTCGCTTGTCACAAGCGCGGCCGGAGGTGGCTGCTGTGCTGACTTCGCACCCTCTGGGCACAGCGATGGCATGTGGCACTTCGACAGTTTGACAAGGTCAAACTGGTGGCCCAGAAAGGAGTTTGCAGCGAGCCATGGGATGAGCCCCGTTGGCCTTGACCCCAAATGCAGAGTCCCCAAGCGCGCTCTTAAGTAGATGCTGCTCTTCCCAACCACATGCAGCGTTCTCCATCCTCCCCCCGACGCCTCCAGCTCACATCCTGACGTGAATATCAATTTTAAATATTTACGGAGCAAGCCCCAGTTTCCCCAGGTCTGAGGGAAGAAACCAAAAGTGGATGTGGGAGCTCATTCAATGGCTTTTAGCACAAAAGCAGGATAGGCAACAGGGTGTTTGTTTGGGTTTTTTTAATTATTAACCAGGATTCCCATTGTCAGGTTCTTTTTCCTCCTGAGAAAGGAAGGAAACCCCTGGTTCCTAGGAGGCAATGGTATATGGTTTTGCCTCATTTTGGGGCAAAACCTGACATGGACAGTAGGGAATTGGTTAAACTTGACCCTGGAGCTCACTGCTGTTTCTCCTGGGATGCTCCTAGCCTCGTGTCCCTATTTCCTCTGCCCAGTAAGCTGCTCCTTCCCATGCCTCCCCACATTCCCAAGAGCAGCAGGGTTGAGTTTTCCCATTTGCCTCCTAAACTGGAGCTTCTCTCCACCTAATAGACAGCCGACGTGCTGACCTCCAAACATAGCAGTGCCAACCGCTAGACTAGAGGTGGTGAAACAGCTCTCCTGCCAAAACACGGCCGTGCTGCTCAGAAACCCTGGCAGCCACTTGGTTTTTTGGGAGGTTCAAAATCCGGTGGTGCAGACAAGTTTCTCTCTCTCTCTTGCTGTCACACTCTGTCTTCCCCCACCGCTCTGCCTTAGGACACTGTTGGAAGTAGCAGCCAAACCCCTCTCCATCCTTCCCGAGCTGTCCCCTGGTTGCAGTTGGTGGCACAAAGCTGGTTCTAGTTGAAAGGATGGGGCAGTGGGGGAAGTTTCCGAGACGGGAGGCTCTGAAATCAGCTCTGCCTGAATATTAATGGTCTTTATTTTCTCCCTCTAGACTCATCCCTCCTCTGAACCAGCTGGAGCTCCTGAGGAACCTGAAGAGCAAATCGGGACTGACATTCAGGTTAGCAGCCGAGTTAAGAGGGCTTGGAAAGCACACACTTTGCAACCTTTTTTTTTTTTCCTTTCTTTTGGTTTTTTCCTTCCTGCCTTTTGCATATGGATAGCCTTGAAGATGTGAGAGGTTTTGGCAGCTGGTCCCCATGGGTCGTTCAGTGACCTCCTCCCTGTCCCTCTCCCATGCTGTACATGAATTTCTTCAGCCTAACTTGACTCTGGAGAAGTATTACAGTGTTTGGCTGAAAATGCAGTCATATTTTCAAAGGGTCTGACCAAGGTAGTGTTCCCAGTTTTCTTCTGACCTTTCTGCTCTTCACTACCCTCAGAGGAGACTCAGGCCCGCAATGTGTTAATTAATTCCCCGTTCCCTCCAGCATCCCCCAAGAGCAGGCAAGGTTGTAGCGGTGAAAAATTTTTGCTAAATTTGCTGTGGCAAGGTATACACGATTGCCCCAGAAGGCCAGGAGTCCTGCAGCTTAAACGTATGCTTGGGAGGGGTAATTCTTGTTTTTTTAAGGAGGCGAGGTTGCCCCTTTTGGTGAACGGGGAGTGTGCAGACCCCAGGAGGGATGGAGAGGTGCTGGCCACGCCGGAGGGCATTGGGGCCATCTGGGACGGGGTGGGAGAGGACCTGCCCCTGTGTCTCTGCAGAGAGTAGAGATCTGCAGACCCATGGGTCAGACTGCAAACTTTTAAAATGTATTTGAGTTAGCGACTGAGGCTGGGCTTCCAAGCTTGTCTGAGCGAGGAGCAGAGGGTGGAGGGGCATTTTTTCAGTCTCTCCAGGCTGCTGCCTTCAGCCTAAGGCAGAGGGCTCGGGGTCTGTGCAGATCTCGGTGTCGCAGCGGTCACTGCTGGGTGGAGCAGGGCCAGGGCTGGGACAAGCATCACGCTCAGAGGCAATCGAGCTTCTCCTGCCCAGGTCTTCTCGCAGTCTGGTTTGTCCCTTAGACTGTGGTGTTAGGGGAGGCAGACCCTTATCTGCTCGGAAACACAGTTTGCTCCCTCTCTTGCGGGGCTGCAGGGGCATGGCTGCTTTGGGGCCCAGATTAAATGCGATTTCCCCGTGTGAAGAACCTGTGAATCAGAGCAGTTGAAGGCAGAGCAGGTTTTCCTCACTGCCAGAGGGAAATGCCGCCAAGATGCCTGGTCAGTGAAGGTGAGATTTTTTTTTCAGTGTGGCCTTAGCTTGGCTAGCAGTGTGATGCCTACCCTGGTGCAGCTCACTTTGTCCTCAATGTCAGTGATTTTTCAGGGCAATCAAGTGGTTCGGGATCTCAGTAGGAAACAGCATACAAGAATTGTGGTGTCCCTCTCCCTCCATGTAGTCTTTGCCAATTACTTTGGCAAAGTAGCTGCCAAAGGCTTTGGAGGCAGAAACCCCACCTGGGGCGTCAGGATGTCAGGGTTGGGGTCCGTACTCCTGCCCACCGATGTCCCCCTCCCAGCACCACGCGTTACCACTGCGGCGTGAAGCCGTGCATCGCGAGATCTGACGTGAGCTCTGTCCCGATGGCCAGGAAGGAAAAGCAAACGCAGCAGGGTCATGGGAGCCGTTCAAATCCTTCCCTACGTGCAGAAACAACTCAGGGCGGTGCATTTCCAAAGGAAGGGGGCCGCTCCCTGAGCCCACAGAAGTCCTCCTGTGCTCACACAAATCACACGACCGTCAGGTGTCTCAGTCATGCGTAGGCACAAGGATGGGTTGGGAAAAACTCTTCAGCCCTGTGCGTTGTATGTGTCTTCTCTGAGGTTGTGTGAGTCTCCAGTGATCTTCTGTCCGGGCCAAAAACTCCAGGAATTAAGTGCTCCTTTCCCTTTCTTCTGTCCACAACTTCCACTTAGTTGTATTGTTTGGTATTGTCCTTTCGTTATGTTTTAACAGTGAAGCAGCAACATCTTTTGCCACCTGACACCATGCTAATGTACTATTGCTTCTGTTTAAAGGAAAGAGCAGCAGCCCGAACCATCGCCAAGGTCTGTATCACTGCCAACACGCCATTCCCATGCATTACCTGTAGATTTGTGTGTACGTGTGTGCGTGTGTGTACCATGTCGTGGCGCCATCGAGGGAAGCATTCTAGGTATTGACGTGCTTTTTCTGTGCTGTGGCAGTCCAATGTATCTATGTGTATGCTGGACCTTAAATCATATCTTCCAGTCTGCCTCGGGCTGTAGCTGCGAGGATAGCGAGGCTATGGGGGCTAGAGAGAGCGGTGGGCAGCACGGACAGAGCTGGCAGTGACAGCAGGGCTTTGGTTTACGCTGCTTTTTTTTCCTTTTGTTGCTGGAGTCGTAGCTGAAACAATCTGATGCAGGCTCAGTGAGCGCCGACGGGTAGGCGATGCTTTGCCTATGTCTCCATCACCCAACGCCGTGCCAGGCGGAGGTGACATGGGAACACGAAGCCATCACCATGTCACTGAGTTAGCAACTTCTCCTGAGCTCCTCTCGCTGCAGGGGGCTGCACGGGGCTGCGTGGACCTGCTGCTCCGTGGGACACAGAAGGGCTCTCTGACACGGCACGATGTTGCGTGGCAGAGACACCCTTTCTCCACCCCATTCCCTTTGGCCTCACCACCTCTGGATGAAGCATGGTCCCTGTTCCGTCTTCCCTCCGTGCCTCGAGTCCACCGAGCAGAGCGTGCGCAGCCGGGCGCCCTCTGAGACGTGGCGAGCACCTTCCAAGGCCAGCCGTAAATCTCACCTACGGGAGAGCTTTTCTTTATTCACATGTCCCAGGGAAAGCAACAGGGCTGGTATTTGGGATACTTTTCATCCCCTTAGAAGTATTTAATTCTGGGATTTTTTTTCCTATATTTTCCCAGTTCTTTTATGAAGTAATTCTGGGACTGAATCTCTTTTTTTTTTGGGAGGCAGGATGCAAAACTGATGATCCGTGGTGACCATCTGCTTGGCTTTCAGATCTTCCATCTCATAGCTCAAAACATAGCTTACAGCCTAAACACTGTAAACACTGAGTGTGTTTTTCAGAAATATAACATTTGCAGATGTAACTTTCTGCTGTGCCTTTTAGCTTATAAGAGGCCAGAAATAAATTTTTCTCTGGCATAAAATCCAACCAAAGACGTCTGGGTAGATACAGTGCTGACTAAAGGGAGGAAAATTTCATCCTTCCTTCCTTCCTTCCCCCCCGCCCCTTTTTTCTGTCTTTCATTTGAGCTTTTCTTTGCAAGCAGAACCTCTGTAGCACTCCATCCACTTTCCTACCAATTAAACCAAATCTCCAAGATCATGTTTCAACTATCCAGATTTTTTTTTTTCCTACTTAGGGTCTCAGCCTGTGTAGCTAGAGTGAAGGCAGCCTCCATCCAGCATCCTTTATTAAAGCAGGGAGCATTACGTGGGAAGTGCTCTCCGGGAGCAGACCAGGGCTGAAATCTTGGCTACCCGCCTGTGGCATCAGGAGGGTCAGCATTCATCCCAGGGGCCTGGCTGCTCTGTCGCCCTGTCTCAGCCAGTGACACACTTTGGATGCATCAAAGGGTAAATCCACATTTCTCACAGGCATATGACTGTGCAATGAGACAAAAATCTCTGTTCAATCCGATCGGCTCCGTAGCCGAGGAAGTCTGAGGACCGATGGTCCCTCGTAGGGTCACGCCAGCCAGCATCCCTGCAACCGCAGGCACTGGTCTTGTTTCTGAGGCACTAGTCCTATTTCTTACTTTTGAATCTCCGTCCTGTCTTGCAGGGTTCATTTTCACCAGTTAAAACGCTAGATTGGATATAATATTTCTTTGTGGAAGTTGCAGGTTTTTCCCTGTTCATTTTCTACATTGCTTTCTTAATCTTATGTCATAGAAAGGAGTAGAAATAGCCTTTCTCTGCCCTTTTTCAGAGTATCTTTTACTATAATTAGCTCCTTCATCAGGGTTATTTCCAAATGCTGCTTTCCTGCTCCTGTAGTGTATCTGTCTCGTGACACTGATGGGTTTTGTTGCCCTCTGTTGTAAGATGCTAAACCTGAACCCAGGAGTGCTTAAGCTGAGGGTCTGCAGCTACCGTGTATATGGCATTAGAGTACTTCCCATATTGTTTAGTTCAGCTGCCATAGCAGAACCAAAGCTCTTTCCTTCTGTGTTTTGTTAGGGCAATATCCATTCTACCTGCTCCCACTGCCCTTTTCCATCTGATAATGTCTCAGACCTCAGGAAGGAATTTTGCACAGTAATCCCCATGTTCAGGGGGCCCCAAACCACCTATTTTCCCAAATAAAAGTTTCTGGATCTTTTACATTCACATCCCAAATCTCCCACCCACTTTAATTCCAGCAGCCTCCCAGTGCTGCTCCGTGTGTCATCCTGCCCTTAGAAAAGAAAAGTCGTCCTGTTTCTCAGCCCACCCGACAGTTAATCATCCAGCCGTGGTCTGTCGCTGATGGCTGTTTCACTTAGGAAACTCCTCAGGATGAATCGTCTCTCATAGCAGATCCCAGCACCACGCTGTTACTGCTTCAGCCGGTACAGGATTTGCCACTTTCCATTTCCATCGATGTAAGGAAACATACAGTCTCTCATCTGGAGATAGCTGGATCTTCCTCCCGTTGTAAAAAAAAGTGGCTGATTGCCTACATCCCTCTTTCCATAACCGATACACCACAAAGTCCTTACAGCAAACAGAAAAGAAGCAGCTTTTTCACTATTTTGCATCTCAATATATTTTAAGTTAGAGAAGGGATGCCGGCACGGCTCGTGGGAACGCGCCGTGCAAGACAAAGATTGCCTTGCGAGGTCAGGCAGCATCCCCAGCGCCCGCCAGCGCGCGGGGCGGCTGTCGGGGTCT